GCTACTACTGCTACTACTGCTGCTACTACTACTACTACTACTACTACTAGCTACTAGCTACTAGCTACTAGCTACTAGCTACTAGCTACTAGCTACTAGCTACTAGCTACTAGCTACTAGCTACTACTACTACTACTACTACTACTACTCCTGCTTCTACTACTACTACTACTACTACTACTACTACTGCTACTTGTTCTCCTGCTGCTGCTGCTGCTGCTGCTGCTGCTGCTGCTCCTGCTGCTGCTGCTGCTGCTGCTGCTGCTGCTCCTGCTACTAAGCCTTAAACCCTAATCCCCTTAAGCCTTCAACCCCAAACCCTAATCCCCTTGAGCCTTCAACCCTAAACCCTAATCCCCTTAAGCCTTCCACCCTAAACCCTAAACCCGAATCCCCTCAAGCCTTCAACCCTAAACCCTAATCCCCTGAAGCCTTCAACCCTAAACCCTAAACCCTAAACCCTAAATCCCTGAAGCCTTGAACCCTAAACCCTAATCCCCCCTGAACCCTAAACCCAAAACTTCAACCCTAAGCCCCAAACCTCCTTGAGGGTTTTTGTCAAAATGATGGCCCCTTTTTGGGTCCTTAATATAATACGGCACCCATTATTTAGGGTACCCCAGAAGGGACCATAATTTTGACAACTACCCTTGAGGTGATATGAACTCAGCAACTAAAACCCTAAACCCTAAACCCTAAACCCTAAGCCTTGAGGTGACGCTGCGATCCCGGACTCCCGGGGTCCCCTCTACACGGCTGCCAACTACCCCGACTCGAAGCTTGGGCTGAAGTTTCGGGTTTACCGGTTTAGGTTTGGGGTTTAGGGTTTAGGGTTTAGGGATTAGGGTTTAGGGTTTAGGGTTTAGGGTTTGGGGTTTGGGGTTTAGGGTTTAGGGTTTAGGGCTTTAGGTTTGGGGTTTAGGGTTTAAGGTTTCGGGTTTAGGGTTGGCCGTTTAAGGTTCAGGGCTTAAGGTCTAAGGTTTGGGGTTTAGGCTTTAGGGCTTAGGATTTTGGGAATCGGAATAGGGAATAGGTTTCCGGGGTCTAGGGTTGGGGGGGTTTAATTCTTCAATGGGTTTCCTGCAACGGGTACTATAGGGCTTACTGCAACGACTACAACAACTTAGTGATGAGGATAAGCTTCTTGAAAAGGTTCTGTGAAGAGTTCTACATCAGTTGTGATGAGGGGTTCTACGGGGCTTTACTAGAGTTACGATAGGATTTCCCAGAAGTGCGCGAGGATTTGTCTAGAAAGAGGGGTGGTACGGTTGATGATGTAAATCCTGCATTACCCAGAATAGGGAACATACCATAATTCCCATATTTAGCTTAGGGTCCTTAAGCTTATGCAGGATTTTTATCATCCACAGTAGTATAGTAGTCCCTTTATAAATGTCCATTAATTTTAGGGTTTTTCGTGTGTTGTGATGGGATTTATGATTTAGGGTGTTTACTGGGGTTTGGGTTGCATAAACCAGCGCTTGTGAACTGACAGGTTACGAAAGGGTGCCCTTTACTCTTGGTGGGTGCCCCTGAACCTTAGAACCAAAACCTAAACCCCGAAACCCAAAACCCCAAACCCCGAAGCCCCAAAACCCTGAACCCTATACCCCAAAACCCCAAAACCTTGCTTTCGCAGTGCGTTCTTAGGTTTTTGAAGGCTCAGGGGTAGAGTTCTTATCTTCGAACGCGCAGCACGGCACCCTGGCACCCCAAAGCCAAGTTCCCAAGCTCCGGTTAAGGTTTAGGGTTTAGGGTTGAGGGCTCCACAGCTTAAGCCTTTGGCGGCCATTCGAGCTGTAAGCAAGACCTATACGTGGCAGGGAGATGTTGGAATATTTTTGAGCTTCGTGTTCAGGGCATCACGAGAGTGGAGTGCTGGTGCATCGGTCAAGCAACATATCAAATATCCAAAGTGGAGCCGGGAAGATCGGAACGTCCTGAATCCTACAATCTGAATCTCCCGCCCCTAAACACACATTGCAACCCTTGACCTCTACGCACCCCAATTCTAGACGAGTAGAATCCGAATCCGAGCGTGGATCCTGGTGCTTCGCAGGAATCTGGTCCAGAACTTCTGCCGAAATCCCTTCCAGGCCAGCCGCATTCTTTACACGATCTCCCAAACCCTAGACCCCGCAACCTTATGTCACCTTACACCCCAAACCCTAAACCTAAATCCTAAATCCCAACCCCAGAAACCTGACATCCTTAATCCAAGACCCTAAATCCTAAAGACCCCAAGCTGCATTGCCTGCTGGAGAAAGGCGCCTGAATACTTGAGTAGCCTAAAGAGCTAGAAACAATGTTCCCTTTGCGTTCCTTGCGAAATTTATACTATGATCACTATGATCTATCCTAAACCCAAAACCCTAAACCCTATGATCTATACTAAATGCCTGCTCGAAGTAGGCAGGTCCCTCTGTTAGATTCAGAGCTTCAAGAAGGCACAAGACCGTGGCTTCTGTAGGTTGTAGGGTACTGGGTTGGGGATCTGGGTTTCAGCATAATTAGGGTTAGTACTAAGGTTTCAGGATTAGGGTTTAGGATTTCGGATTGGGGGTTTAGGATTTAGGATTAGGATTTCGGTTTTGGGATTAGGGCGTAGGTTTTAGGCTTAGGATTCAGGTTTTCGGACTTAGGATTAGGATTGGGCTCTAAGAGTAGGGTTTAGGATGTCGGGTCAAGGATTTAGGACTTAGTGCTTAAAGCTTATATGCGTGTATAAGCTGACAACGCCGGATATGGTTTCCATTACTTTATCTTTTCGGGGCGTCTGCCTACGTTTCTGGAGGCATAGAATTCCGGGTGAGAGGGTTAAGGGTTTCGGGTTTTGGACTCCGGTGTTAAATTTAAGTTTTTAGAGGTTTAGGTTTGAAGGTTCGGATGGAGGATTTATCGGGTTTGGGTTGGGTGCCAGGAAAAGTGTATTTACTACACAAACTACTTTCCTTCTCTCTCTCTCTCTCTCTCGCTCTCTCTATATNNNATATATATATATATGTTACAATGTGTTAGATGTCTCTCTACCGACGAAAGGCTGCGGCGGTAGACAGCCTAGGCCCTTGTTGATGTGTTTTGGGAATATAACCCTAGAGCCTCAATCCCAAACTCCAAATGCCAAGGGTGTGCTGAGCACACTCACAGACAAGCAAGCCCCAAAGCTCTCAAAACCTGAGCCATCATAGACAAACCCCAAAC